GATCACTAACAATGCTAACCGGTATCCCGTGGAGCCTTACAATCTCCTTTACATATAACTTAGCTAGTTTCTCCGTAGAGAAATCCACTCGCACTGGCAGAAAATGTGCAGACTTCGTGAGCCTGTCCACTATTACCCAAATCGAATCGTGACCAGCCTGAGTCCGAGGCAAACTAACAACAAAATCCATCGAGATGCTCTCCCATTTCCACTCTGGTATATCCAACGGCTGAAGTAACCCTACAGGTTTCTGATGTTCTATCTTGACTTTTTGACAAATTAAGCACCTTGACACATACTCAGCAACATCTTTCTTCATCCCAGGCCACCAGAACTTAGTTTTCAGATCTTGATACATTTTTGTGGCACTTGGGTGTACAACATACTGACCCTTATGGCCCTCAAACATTACCTCCTCTGCTAACTCTTTGCCACTATGCCCTTTCAAATACTTGACACTGTCATTTCGTACCTGTGTTTCTTTAATCTTCTCATTCAGTTTATTTTCCACTCGAAAGCACTTAGATTCTTCCACACTACCAATAAAGACATCCGTCAATTTCAAATCACGGAATTGTTCAATCACTTCGTTATCCCACAACATCAACTGGGACACACTAACAGACTTCCTACTCAAGGCATCCGCTACCACATTAGCTTTACCCGGATGGTATTTCAACTAAAAATCATAGTCTTTTAAAAATTCAACCCATCTTCGCTGTCTCATATTCAACTCTTTCTGATCAAACAAATATTTCAAACTTTTGTGGTCGCTGAATACAGCAAATGTCATCCTATACAGAAAATGCCTCCAAATTTTTAAGGCAAATACGATGGCAGCAAGCTCCAAATCGTGCGTCGGATAATTCTCTTCATGAGGCCTCAACTGCCTCAAAGCATAAGCAACAACTCTCCTTTCTTGCATCAGCACACACCCCAAACCTTTCTTGGAAGCATCACAGTATAATTCAAACTCACCTTCCGGATCGGGGAGGGTCAACAGAGGAGCAGTAGTCAACTTCTCTTTAAGGCCTAGAAAACACCTCTCATATTCCTGGGTCCACACAAAAGGAGTATCCTTTCATGTCAATCGGTTCAATGGCAGTACCATTGTAGAAAACCCCTCAATAAACCTCTGATAATATCCAGCAAGACCCAGAAAGCTGCGAATTTCAGTAACAGTTTTTGGTAGTTCCCAGTACATAACAACATCAATCTTATTTGGATCCACCACAACACCCCTTTCAGAGATAACATGACCCAGAAATTGTACCTCAGATAACCAAAATTCACACTTTGACGGCTTCGCATACAACTTTTTATCCTATAATACCTGTAACACAGTCCTCAAATGCTCACTATGCTCTTCTCTGCTCTTAGAATAGATCAAGATATCATCCATGAACACAATCACAAACTAATCCAAATACGGTTTAAAGATACGATTCATATAGTCCATGAACACCGTCGGGGCATTTGTAAGCCCAAATGGAATCACCTGATACTCGTAGTGTCCATATCTAGAACGAAAGGCCGTTTTAGGCATATCCTCCGGCCTAATCCGAATCTGATGGTATCAGGACCAGAGATCAATCTTTGAAAACACACAGGCACCCCTCAACTGATCCAACAAGTCATCAATACGCGGCAATGGGTACCTGTTCTTAACCGTAACTTTATTCAATTTCCGGTAGTCAGTACACAGTCTCATGGTTCTATCCTTCTTTTTCACAAAGATTACCGGTGCTCCCCACGGAGACACACTCGGCCTAATAAAATACTTTGCTGACAGTTCCTCAACATGTTTCTTCAACTCAGCCAACTCAAGTGGCGTCATCCGGTATGGAGCCAATGAAATAGGCCCCACACCAGGCAACAATTCTATTGAAAATTCAATCTCCCTCTCAGGTGGAAATCCCAGTATCTCATCAGGGAATACATCCTCAAACTCATTAGCCACCGGAATCGTAGAAATTTCAATCTCCTTACCACCCACCAATCCACCCAAGAAAATATAACCCTGATCCCCAGCCTTCAAGGCTTTAACAGCTTGACACATAGACAAAAAGGGAGACGGAGTAACCGAGGGCTTCTCGTGAGACAATACCAACCTCTTGCCGCAGCAATCAATCATTGCACAATTTTGAGACAACCAATCCATGCCCAATATCAAATTAACAGAAGCCAGGGGCAAGATAATTAAATCAATAGTGTAGCCCCTGCCTTCGTAGACAAACCCGACCTCTTTGCAAATGAAGGTGGAATCACTAACCTCTCCTGTAGCCGTAGTAATACGCATAGGGGGAATCATCCGTGATACTTTTAATCCCAACCCCTTAGCAACATATTCCGCCACGAACGAATGCGTAGCTCCCGTATCAAACAACACAGACAAATCAACATTAGAAATGAAGATTATACCTTTTACCAAGTTCGGGGCCTTTTCAGTATGTTGCGCAGTTGTAGTGTACACCCTTCCAACTGTAGGGATAGCAGCAGTAGTAGTAGTAGTCGGTAAGGCCTGCAGATTTACAGCCTGTCCCGCAGTAGGAGTATAAGATGCCCAGGCCTGCAGATTCGCAGCCTGTCCAGCAGAAGATGGACAACTCCTAGCAAAATGGCCTGTCTGACCACATTTAAAATAAGCCCCCGGGCCAGCACCACATACATCTCTGTGGTATCTCTTGCACTTCCCACACTGTGGGGTATAGTATTTATCGACAGTTCCACCGCCCGGGGCTCCACTCTTCTTAAATTGACCAGGACGCTGCCTTAATTGTAACCCCCTTCCCCTGTTGTTATTGGGATGGTATCCAGCTCTATTACTATTTCCAGAGGGACCAGCAGTCCTCTTGTTCTCTTGCTCTTTTGCGGAATTAGATTTCGGATATCTACCATAAACAGTCTCAACCCTCTTACATTGGGTCACAAGATCAGCAAAATTTCTCACTGCCGTATTTGACATCCTCTTGGCAATCTTTTCACTCAGCCCTCTTTGGAATTTTGTAGATAAAAACTCGGGCGTAGGCAGAGTACCTCCATAATTAGCAAACTTGACCAACTCATTGAATTTAGTCACATAAGCATCCACAGACATTGACCCTTGCACCAACTTATCAAACTCTCCCTGTTTAGCTTCTCTCACATCATGGGGAAAGTATTCTTCATGAAATAGGCCCTCAAACATGGCCCACGAGATCTCTTCACCCTGAACAACATAAGGACGAGAAACGCTGTCCCACCATTCTTGGGCATCACCCTCCAACATATACACAGAATATAATAACTTCTGCGGATCTTGGCACCTCATCACCTGGAATACCTTATCCATTCCCCTTAGCCAAGTAGTAACCTCCTTCGGGTCATTTGACCCCTGAAATACGGGTGGCTTGTGTTTCCTAAATGATATGAGCCTTCGCTCATCAGCAGCATCATCAACAATTGGCTCAGCAACCCCAGTGGACTGAACAACAGAAGGTTGCGGAACATATGTAGGATCCGTAGTATGGTGGCTAGCCTCACCAGTGTGGTGACTAGCTCCACTCTCCCCCTGCTGAGGAGTAACAGATGGCGTAGGTGTAGGTGTCATCCCGCCTATGACGATCTCTAGCAGCCCTCATCTCATTCAAGAAGGCAGTCATCATATCCTGATTGTTTTTCATCAGGTTTTCAGTCATGGTTCGATTCGCGATCATTTTCGCCTGCAAAGCATTATGAACTGCAGTAATCGGATCCGGCGGCTGAGGATCTGCACCTCGTGTCCCACGGCAACCACGAGCCCTCCTCATGATATCTGTACATGTAACACAAAGGAATGAGCTGATCAGACTCACACTGAGAAATCACATATACATAAATCATAAAGAGTTCACAGATAGCTATGCAACACGAGATACAGTTAGACATAATCAGAGTCCCACACAAAACGGCTCTGATACCATAAAATGTAACAGCCCGTTACGTACCGGTAATGTTATCATTGCATATGGTATTAAGCGCAGTTACAGTCACAGTAATTGAGTTAATTAAATTACGGATAAACTTTTTTCTTTTATTACATTCTTTTCTTTAAACATTAACTGTTTCTGTAATCAATTAAAACAACGCCATAATTGTAAATACAAAACTCGCGGAAGCATAAAACATACCAAATATAATCTGTCTAAGCAATACCATTTATTTTAGATTTTAGAAAACACATTTTCAAAATTTAACACAGTGGTAATCGATTACCATCCTTGAGGTAATCGATTACCAAAGGTTACTGTAGAAGTCAGAACCTCAATTTTGGTTCCCCTGTTTTCAGGTAATCGATTACCAGACATTGGTAATCGATTACTGAACTAGGTAATCGATTACCAATCTCTGGTAATCGATTACTTTGATCACAGTGGCTCAAATTTTCGTCCTCTGTTTTAGGTAATCGATTACCAATGAAAGGTAATCGATTACTATGCAGTAAAAATGACAGATGACAGCTTTAAAGACACAAAATGAGTGATGTAACATACTCCTAACACCTTGATACTTAATATACACGTTACACAAGTCCTAATGTAGGCTCTAGGCCCTTCCATCATGCATATTCATTAATCAATGCATCATTTACAATATTCTCAATATCATAGCCATTTACACATTAAATGGTCTATTTACAACGCAAGTTTTCCAATGCCTCAAATACAACATAGGTGGCCATGGACAAGTCCCATGCTCACACAAAATACAATTAGAAACAAGAGGCATAATGTAAATCCAATACAAAAGACTTAGAATATAATCATGAACATCACAAAAGCATGGAAACCTCAACATGCAATATGTTCATGATCTAAGTCCCAAAATGCTAACTAAATGCCATGTGCATTATATACGCTCCTCCAAAATACCCTGTACGCCATATGCACCACATGCTACTGCCATCCACTAAGTGGGCTTCTTGCCCGAAACACCTCCGTGCTCATAATGTCCTGAAATAATGTCCCCAAACGTGGGGTGAGATATACATATATATCTCAGTAAACCAAGGGAACTAGAGGATCACTCCCCCCCATGGCTCACTCAAAGTGCTACAAATGATATCATGTAAAAATGCATGCATACAAAATCACACACAACTGGGCACATCCAAGAACATCCTCCTAAGGATTCTGTTCGAGGACCCTATCATATAGCACCCGAGAATCTTCCTGGTGCCTCTCCCATGGATGAGACGACCCCATGGCAAAACCCAACTGGAACTCCTCATGAGCCCTATCCAGCGGAAGTCCCACGTTTGGATCATCCTGATACCGCTCCCAGAGTCGGTTCCACGGCAAAACCCGACCGGAATCCCCAAAGGATATCTCCAGCGGAAGTCCAAACCAACACACATCTACTGGCCAGAGATCACAAACAATGCACACAAACAGTAACGATGCATGAGCATACATTTTCCACACCACATCATACAACACAAAATCCAACCACAACCTTCCACTAGGTGTGGTGGAGCACACAAGGGACTAAACCCCAGTTCTAAGGTTTACCTCAACTCCAAGCACAAGGCTCCAAACGTACGCTCTGAGCTCAATCTTCCACTATCGCGTCCGAGAGAGGTAACCTATAATGATCAACAAAATGACCATCAAACACATGCAACAATTCATTCAATTTCAATGAATCATACAAATTCACAATTATTTAACAACACAACCTTCTAGCCCAATGGCATCACATCATTAAACTCACCTATCTCGATCACTTTAATCATCAACTATTCATTCCCTAACACCTCAATCATTGATTAAAACCATCATTTCACATCAATTTTCCTAAAATTCTCTATATGGTTCGAATTTCCCATGTGAACACCCCACAAGGTTTTCAATTCAATTCAACCCTTATGCTCATCATATAATTCTATTAATAATCAATACCAACGCTCCATAATTCAATTATTCAATTACTTCACATACCAACTTCCTAAAGTCTTGAAAACCCACTCAAAATTTGCCTAAATTAAAATTCCCACATCACCATAAATTTTATTGCATCAATCATCATCATTTACCATTCTAAGCATTTAATTCCAAAGGAGACATATCATTTGAAGCTCCTAACTATCATCACTCAACTTACAACTTCAAAACCCTCATCAATATTATGATCTCATCAAAAACCAAGTGTGCGTGAGAAACCTTACCACCAATAGCTTCCAAGGATCCAAGGGGATGATCTCCAAGCAATGATTCAACCCAAAGACCCCCAAAAATTCTCCAAAATCCTCCAAAACCTCCGCTGAATATGGGGTTTTCTCAAGATGTGGTGGTTTTCATGGCTCAATACTATTACCAATGGATTAGGAAGGTTGTTTCCAACAAATTTCAAGTCAAGCATCACTTGAATCGGTCAAGAAATGAAGAAGTTACAAGAGGAAGAAGGATTCAAGGTCATGGCTATGGAAGTGGGAGGTCAGGCGTGAGAGGAAGAGAAATAGGAGAGAGAATGTGAGGTCTTTTCACTAATAAGGTCACTTAAGCCATAGGTGGGTCCCACATGCTATTTAGTCTTAATGAATCACCGAATTTAAACCACAATTTGATGATCTACGTATTTTTCTCATTCGCATCATATTTTTGTTTTCTAAAATACTGATCAAAATTTTAGGCTTATCGGTACAATTATACCGCAGTATTTTTACACCAGAAAACTACTATTCATCAAATTTTTCAAAACTTGCCTATCCACTTGATTTTTTGTTCTGAATCCATTTCCGGCCTTATTTTCATCATTTGAGGCCTTCTACTCAATTTTTTTACGGCCTAGGAACACGTGTTTGGTAAATTACCATTTTGCCTTTCTTATGTATTTTGGTTCTAATTTCTGAATTTTCACTAATCCTACCCTTTTAATCGACATTATCATATAAAAATATATTTTTAGAAATACGAGGTGTTATAATGGGCTGATACTCTGTGGGTAATAGACGTATTCCTGCACTTCTCTGATCAGTAGAATAGTTATAACACACATGATATGATTATCTGCTGCAGTGCACTGATTTTGGAACTGATATTGAATTACTGCCTTTAGAACTTATATTTCATATGTAAGTGAGCTTGGGGTGGAAGATCCTTGAGGACCCCTTGTCTTACTGAGATTTCTTGTTTATAGATCTCACCCCACGTTTGGGGACGCTTATTTCAGGTTCAGGTAATTTGGGGGCGGATGCCTCTGGCAGCAGGAGGCCGGAGCTTAGCTGATTATATATGTTGTATGCTGACATGGATATTGGATGTTGTTTATGTTTTCTGTCTTTATATTGTTATTTGAGTTGAGACTCTTTTGGGGCTTGTTGCCTTGTTTGGTGAGCATGGGGTTTGTCCATGTCGCTTTGATGTTAGTACCTTTTAGCTTGAGTTGTATAAACTATCAGGGTTGTCCGGTCTACGTGTTGTAGTTCCGTCATTAGAGACATCATTATGCTATTTATTTTATAAGGTAATTCAGTTAGCTGTCTTTTGCAATTTACATATAGTCGATGTTTTGGAAAAAGATTTAAGTAATCAAGTTGGTAATGAATAATGACGTCATATTTGAAAGTAAAAAGTTATTCCGCATTTTTAAATTAAGCGTAGCTTAATACGATGACATGTTAACAAACTGGGTTAACACGGGGTGTTACATTTTATGGTATCAGAGCACTTTCTAGGGAAAAGCCTGTATGTATTGCAATAACTTAGGATGTTTGGTTACGAGTCTATCTTGTGTGTTCTCTCTGTTGGATTTTGCTATGATAATGCATATGTGACCACATTGTGTGGGCCTGATCAACTCATCCTTTGTGTAACTTGTGCAGAGTCATGGTACTATATAGGAGGAACCGTGAGACCACTGAGGATCAGCCAGATCCTGTCCTGACTGCATTGGCTGAGATGCAGGCGGCTAGATTAGCCGATTAGGAGGCCACTAGATTGGCCAACCAGGCGATGATGAACGTCGTGCGAGAGGAGAACCGGAAGGCCACGAAGGACGTTCTTGAGGCAAATAGGCTGGCGAACATGACCATGATGAGGGTCATGTTGGAGGAGATGAGGGCTGGCCGCACTGAGGGTCAGTTTCCTCCACCACCACCTCCACCGCCACCACTACCACCTCCTCCACCTAGTCTTCAGGACGACAGCCAGAGCCATGTTGAGGGCACTGGTCATGCTACGGGGGTGATGGAGCCCTATGTGGAGCCTGCTGAGGATCGCGATACTATAGACCGCCGGCTTAATGCTTTCTGTAAGCATAAGCCACCTTCCTTTGATGGGTCGTTGGATCCTATTGCTGCGGCAAGATGGCTACAAGCATTGGATAAAGGTCAATGAGGGCCCCGGTTGAAAAAATCCTAAGATGCGAGGAGCATATACGCAAAGAGTTCACAAAATCTCAAACGCTCTCCGGAGAAACCATGAACCAAAGTACAAAGGAGTTCACCCCGGCAATCCGGACACCCAGGCAGCCTGGCTGAGGGGCAACTGTTATGGACTCGTATAAGGGACCCATTGATTGACAGGCCCAGCAAGGGGCAATCTAAGATTTAAATCAAGCATAACTATGGAA